GAGTGTGTGTTACTGACGGAGTGTGTTACTGACGGAGTGTGTGTTACTGACGGAGTGTGTTACTGACGGAGTGTGTGTTACTGACGGAGTGTGTTACTGACGGAGTGTGTGTTACTGATGGAGTGTGTTAATGACGGAGTGTGTTACTGACGGAGTGTGTTTCTGACGGAGTGTGTGTTACTGACGGAGTGTGTTACTGACGGAGTGTGTTACTGACGGAGTGTGTTACTGACGGAGTGTGTGTTACTGATGGAGTGTGTTAATGACGGAGTGTGTTACTGACGGAGTGTGTTACTGACGGAGTGTGTGTTACTGACGGAGTGTGTTACTGACGGAGTGTGTTACTGACGGAGAGTGTTACTTACGGAGAGTGTTACTGACGGAGTGTGTGTTACTGACTTTGTGTGTGTTACTGACGGAGTGTGTTACTGACGGAGTGTGTGTTACTGACGGAGTGTGTGTTACTGACGGAGTGTGTTACTGACGGAGTGTGTGTTACTGACGGAGTGTGTTACTGACGGAGTGTGTGTTACTGACGGAGTGTGTGTTACTGACGGAGTGTGTGTTACTGATGGAGTGTGTTAATGACGGAGTGTGTTACTGACGGAGTGTGTTAATGACGGAGTGTGTTACTGACGGAGTGTGTTAATGACGGAGTGTGTGTTACTGACGGAGTGTGTGTTACTGACGGAGTGTGTGTTACTGACGGAGTGTGTTAATGACGGAGTGTGTGTTACTGACGGAGTGTGTGTTACTGACGGAGTGTGTGTTACTGATGGAGTGTGTTAATGACGGAGTGTGTTACTGACGGAGTGTGTTAATGACGGAGTGTGTGTTACTGACGGAGTGTGTGTTACTGACGGAGTGTGTGTTACTGACGGAGTGTGTTAATGACGGAGTGTGTGTTAATGACGGAGTGTGTGTTACTGACGGAGTGTGTTACTGACGGAGTGTGTTACTGACGGAGTGTGTGTTTCTGACGGAGTGTGTGTTGCTGACGGAGTGTGTTACTGACGGAGTGTGTTACTGACGGAGTGTGTTACTGACGGAGTGTGTTACTGACGGAGTGTGTTACTGACGGAGTGTGTTACTGACGGAGTGTGTTTCTGACGGAGTGTGTGTTACTGACGGAGTGTGTTACTGACGGAGTGTGTTACTGACAGAGTGTGTGTTACTGACGGAGTGTGTTACTGACGGAGTGTGTGTTACTGACGGAGTGTGTTACTGACGGAGTGTGTTACTGACGGAGTGTGTTACTGACGGAGTGTGTGTTACTGACGGAGTGTGTTAATGACGGAGTGTGTTACTGACGGAGTGTGTTACTGACAGAGTGTGTGTTACTGACGGAGTGTGTTACTGACGGAGTGTGTTACTGACGGAGTGTGTGTTACTGACGGAGTGTGTTACTGACGGAGTGTGTTACTGACGGAGTGTGTTACTGACAGAGTGTGTTACTGACGGAGTGTGTGTTACTGACGGAGTGTTACTGACGGAGTGTGTGTTACTGACGGAGTGTGTTACTGACAGAGTGTGTTACTGACGGAGTGTGTGTTACTGACGGAGTGTGTTACTGACAGAGTGTGTTACTGACGGAGTGTGTTACTGACGGAGTGTGTGTTACTGACGGAGTGTGTTACTGACGGAGTGTGTTACTGACGGAGTGTGTGTTACTGACGGAGTGTGTGTTACTGACGGAGTGTGTTTCTGACGGAGTGTGTTACTGACGGAGTGTGTTACTGACGGAGTGTGTGTTACTGACGGAGTGTGTGTTACTGACGGAGTGTGTGTTACTGATGGAGTGTGTTTCTGACGGAGTGTGTTACTGACGGAGTGTGTTTCTGACGGAGTGTGTTTCTGACGGAGTGTGTTACTGACGGAGTGTGTTACTGACGGAGTGTGTGTTAATGACGGAGTGTGTTACTGACGGAGTGTGTTACTGACGGAGTGTGTGTTACTGACGGAGTGTGTTACTGACGGAGTGTGTGTTACTGACGGAGTGTTTACTGACGGAGTGTGTGTTACTGATGGAGTGTGTTTCTGACGGAGTGTGTTACTGACGGAGTGTGTTTCTGACGGAGTGTGTTACTGACGGAGTGTGTTTCTGACGGAGTGTGTTTCTGACGGAGTGTGTTTCTGACGGAGTGTGTTACTGACGGAGTGTGTGTTAATGACGGAGTGTGTTACTGACGGAGTGTGTTACTGACGGAGTGTGTGTTACTGACGGAGTGTGTTTCTGACGGAGTGTGTTTCTGACGGAGTGTGTTACTGACGGAGTGTGTTTCTGACAGAGTGTGTTTCTGACGGAGTGTGTTACTGATGGAGTGTGTTACTGACGGAGTGTGTTACTGACGGAGTGTGTGTTACTGACGGAGTGTGTTAATGACGGAGTGTGTTACTGATGGAGTGTGTTAATGACGGAGTGTGTTACTGACGGAGTGTGTTACTGATGGAGTGTGTTAATGACGGAGTGTGTTACTGACGGAGTGTGTTACTGACGGAGTGTGTTACTGACGGAGTGTGTTTCTGACGGAGTGTGTTACTGACGGAGTGTGTTAATGACGGAGTGTGTTTCTGACGGAGTGTGTTACTGACGGAGTGTGTGTTACTGACGGAGTGTGTTACTGACGGAGTGTGTGTTACTGACGGAGTGTGTTACTGACGGAGTGTGTGTTACTGACGGAGTGTGTTAATGACGGAGTGTGTTACTGACGGAGTGTGTTTCTGACGGAGTGTGTGTTACTGACTGAGTGTGTTACTGACGGAGTGTGTTACTGACGGAGTGTGTTACTGACGGAGTGTGTTACTGATGGAGTGTGTTAATGACGGAGTGTGTTACTGACGGAGTGTGTTACTGACGGAGTGTGTGTTACTGACGGAGTGTGTTACTGACGGAGTGTGTTACTGACGGAGAGTGTTACTTACGGAGAGTGTTACTGACGGAGTGTGTGTTACTGACTTAGTGTGTTACTGACGGAGTGTGTGTTACTGACGGAGTGTGTTACTGACGGAGTGTGTGTTACTGACGGAGTGTGTTACTGACGGAGTGTGTGTTACTGACGGAGTGTGTGTTACTGACGGAGTGTGTGTACTGACGGAGTGTGTGTTACTGATGGAGTGTGTTAATGACGGAGTGTGTTACTGACGGAGTGTGTTAATGACGGAGTGTGTTTCTGACGGAGTGTGTTAATGACGGAGTGTGTGTTACTGACGAGAGTGTGTGTTACTGACGGAGTGTGTGTTACTGACGGAGTGTGTTAATGACGGAGTGTGTGTTACTGACGGAGTGTGTGTTACTGACGGAGTGTGTGTTACTGATGGAGTGTGTTAATGACGGAGTGTGTTACTGACGGAGTGTGTTACTGACGTAGTGTGTGTTACTGACGGAGTGTGTTAATGACGGAGTGTGTGTTAATGACGGAGTGTGTGTTACTGACGGAGTGTGTTACTGACGGAGTGTGTTACTGACGGAGTGTGTGTTACTGACGGAGTGTGTGTTACTGACGGAGTGTGTTACTGACGGAGTGTGTTACTGACGGAGTGTGTTACTGACGGAGTGTGTTACTGACGGAGTGTGTTACTGACGGAGTGTGTTACTGACGGAGTGTGTTTCTGACGGAGTGTGTGTTACTGACGGAGTGTGTTACTGACGGAGTGTGTTACTGACAGAGTGTGTGTTACTGACGGAGTGTGTTACTGATGGAGTGTGTGTTACTGACGGAGTGTGTTACTGACGGAGTGTGTTACTGACGGAGTGTGTTACTGACGGAGTGTGTGTTACTGACGGAGTGTGTTAATGACGGAGTGTGTTACTGACGGAGTGTGTTACTGACAGAGTGTGTGTTACTGACGGAGTGTGTTACTGACGGAGTGTGTTACTGACGGAGTGTGTGTTACTGACGGAGTGTGTTACTGACGGAGTGTGTTACTGACGGAGTGTGTTACTGACGGAGTGTGTGTTACTGACGGAGTGTGTTACTGACGGAGTGTGTTACTGACGGAGTGTGTTACTGACAGAGTGTGTTACTGACGGAGTGTGTGTTACTGACGGAGTGTGTTACTGACGGAGTGTGTTACTGACGGAGTGTGTGTTACTGACGGAGTGTGTTACTGACAGAGTGTGTTACTGACGGAGTGTGTGTTACTGACGGAGTGTGTTACTGACGGAGTGTGTGTTACTGACGGAGTGTGTTACTGACGGAGTGTGTTACTGACGGAGTGTGTTACTGACGGAGTGTGTGTTACTGACGGAGTGTGTTACTGACGGAGTGTGTTACTGACGGAGTGTGTGTTACTGACGGAGTGTGTGTTACTGACGGGTGTGTGTTACTGACGGAGTGTGTGTTACTGACGGAGTGTGTTTCTGACGGAGTGTGTTACTGACGGAGTGTGTGTTACTGACGGAGTGTGTGTTACTGACGGAGTGTGTGTTACTGACGGAGTGTGTTTCTGACGGAGTGTGTTTCTGACGGAGTGTGTTACTGACGGAGTGTGTTTCTGACGGAGTGTGTTTCTGACGGAGTGTGTTACTGACGGAGTGTGTTACTGACGGAGTGTGTGTTAATGACGGAGTGTGTTACTGACGGAGTGTGTTACTGACGGAGTGTGTGTTACTGACGGAGTGTGTTACTGACGGAGTGTGTGTTAATGACGGAGTGTGTTACTGACGGAGTGTGTTACTGACGGAGTGTGTGTTACTGACGGAGTGTGTTTCTGACGGAGTGTGTTTCTGACGGAGTGTGTTACTGACGGAGTGTGTTTCTGACGGAGTGTGTTACTGACGGAGTGTGTTTCTGACGGAGTGTGTTTCTGACGGAGTGTGTTACTGATGGAGTGTGTTACTGACGGAGTGTGTTACTGACGGAGTGTGTTACTGATGGAGTGTGTGTTACTGACGGAGTGTGTTACTGACGTAGTGTGTGTTACTGACGGAGTGTGTGTTACTGACGGAGTGTGTTACTGACGGAGTGTGTGTTACTGACGGAGTGTGTGTTTCTCTCCAGCGTGTCCGCCTGGATCCTACAAGATGTCGTCACGGCAACAGGAGTGTTTTCCGTGTCCGGCCAACAGCGTGGCGGACGAGGAAGGATCGGTGGTGTGTGTGTGTGAAGAAGATCACTTCAGGACTCCTCTGGACAGCCCCTCCACCCCCTGCACAAGTACTGACATCACACACACACACACATTTCTATCCATCTTCCTTCTGCTTTTAACCCGTTTTCATTCCTGCTGATTCCATAAAGATCCATTTATGGATCGCCTGTCCTTCGCCCTGCGACCGCTCCTCTTCCTCCTCCTCCTCCTCCTCCTCCTCCTCTTCCTCTCTCATGTTTAATGTGAATCAATCTTTGGTTTGTCCTGGGAAGATTTCAGAAACGGTGGGACAGAGAGGAAAATGGTCTCACCGTTTCACCGTAAAGTTGTAACTCATGGATGATCAGGACTGAAACACAATCAGGTTTTCATCATTTCCCTGGAAACCAGAAAAATTCTGGTTCAGCAGCAGCAAAGTGATAATCCATAAAATCAGACTTCCACCAAAATGCAATATAAAATATAGAAAAAGTCAAATATTGAAACATTTCAGCTGGGGAAAAATCTAAATGTGTATTAAAACACAACAAAGTATTTATAATAAGTGATGCTGAAATCTGCTAATAGCTGTTCAATAGCAGCAGGGTGTGAATACTTATTGATTCTGCTTCGATCAGGAAGGATCTGGGCGGCGCAGCTTCCTGCTCCCAGGATGCAACAGTCTGTCTCCAGCTGCGTTTCCCTTAAAATGCCTGCATTGAAGTTATGAGAATGAATTTGCTTAACAGGCCAGTTTCACACAAACACGTTGCTGATCAGTTTTGTTTTGGTTTGGAAACCAAAAAAATAAAAATTTATTTTGCAATAAAACCACGAGTCACATGACCAGCAGCCAAAAACTACCGAAGAAAACATAAAAACAATTTTAGTTTTTTTGCATAATCGAGGAAATATTTTACATTTTTCATGAGATTTTTCCATATGAGAATAAAATCCCATATTTTCCTCCTAAGCTAACATGCTAACTCCACCTGCAGTCCTGCTGCCAAGCCGCCATGTCAGATCCTCTTGACCTTTGACCCTGAGGCCATCACTGAGAATGTGTCCCTTTCTGTGTCACCGGTCCGTTTTGAGCCCTCTGCTGGTTCTGGGAGCCGTTCTGACCCGATGCGGCGGGCGAAGGGTCAGCAGGTCTGTGAGCGCTTTAATTACAGCATCGATCTCCCGATCCGGCCCGATGGATCCGGCTAACGAGCGCATTAATTAAAGGATCGATCCGCTGGTTCTGACCGGGCTCAGACTGGGCTAATCTGAGGGTGGAGGGGAGGTCCGAAACGTCTCTGCAGCAGAACCGCAGAACCAGAACAAAACACAAAATCTGAAGCAGAACTAAATTAGTTGATGATCATTTCAATTATCAATTAACCAATTAATCTGATTAATTGTTATAAGTCAGACAATTTCCTCATTACTGCAGATTAATTTCTGGTCCATCATTTGTAAAGAACAACAAGCAGAAATGACCAAACATTTCAATTTTAGATATAAATTCATCAAATCTATAAAAAATTCTGAGGAAAATCTCCAGAATTTTAATTATTTAATTATAATTCTGATGTAAAAATTAAAATGGGATTTATTCATATCAAATTCACTGCTGCAGGAAAAAATACAACAAAAAACTCAGGAGATAAAAGTTTGGAAATGTTTCTGCTGGGTAGACAGAACCAGGCGGAGCATCAGAACTGAATGAGACTCTGGACCAGAACCAGAACCAGAACCAGGCAGCAGGATGAGGACGGCTGGGACTCTGGACCAGAACCAGAACCAGGCAGCAGGATGAGGACGGCTTCAGGAGGTCAAACAGGATGTCGTCTCCAGCACTGTTCTGTTTGTCTGATGCCTGAAGCGAAGGAGGTGTCCTGTTCCGGTCCGGTTCTGTCCTGTCCGGTCCAGTCCGGTTCTGTCTGGTCCGGTCCGATTCTGTCCAGTCCGGTTCTGTCTGTCCAAGCACTCATTAAACGGAGTTGTGACTCGCTGCCGCCAGAGAGACACTCCATATATGGGCGTGAGCGTACTGAGCATGCTCAGTGTGATTGATGGACATTTAAAAGGGGGGGGGTCAGGGGTCAGGTGTCAGATTATCCAGTAGTGAAGTGAAACTGGACCAGAGAATCGATACTCATTTAACCGGACAAGAAAACATTTGAAATTTAAATGAGGTTCAATAAAAACATTTGATTCTGTAAAGAATTAAGTTGAAAAATGTCGGCATATATCAATTAATCAGATTAAATAATTGTGAACTGGTTTAGTAATTAATTAACTGGAGACACTTAAACACACCATTTGCTGAAAGAACAATTTAGAGGAATAATCTGCAAAATATGATTAATCATCAAAACAATCGACTAATCAGCAGAATAATCAATGACTGAAATACTTTATATTCTAATGATCTAAAACTGAAAAAAAACTAATTTGAAAATAAAATGAAATTAAATCAAAATCTGATGATTTGGTCGTTTAGAAATAAAGCGAATAAAAGAATAAAATTAAATGAAACAAACTGGAGATAAAAACCAGTGTAAACATGAGTCTTTAAAAGTTTCATCAGTTTATGTTTTAATTCTCATCAAGTTTGAGGGGTCAAATGTCATGAAACAAGTAACTGCTACAGGAAAACCGGTTATACACTAGAGTGATTGACAGCACTGACACTGTTTGGCTCCATGTTCTGTTTCATCCAGTCATAGTTCATGTTTTCACGCTGGTCTCCCTGACCCCGTGTGACCCCGCAGGGCCGCCCTCCCCGCCCAGGAGCCTGCGCTTCTCCCTGCGGGGATCCTCCCTGGTGCTGGACTGGGCGCCGCCCTCGGACTCCGGGGGCCGCGTGGACCTGACCTACAGCGTGGGCTGCCGGCGCTGCGGCGCGGCCCGCTGCGAGCCCTGCGGCCCCGGCGTGGGCTTCGTGCCGCAGCAGGTGGGGCTGACGGAGCGCTCGGTGACGGTGGTCAACCTGCTGCCCAACACCAACTACACCTTCAGCGTGGAGGCGCTGAACGGCGTGTCGGACCTGCTGCCCAGCAAGAGCTTCTACACACAGGTCAACGTGTCTACCAGCCTGCCCCGTGAGTCCCGGAGCAACCAGAACCGGAGCCGGATCAGAACCGGAACCGCATCAGAACCTGATCAGAGTCCAGACATACATTCACGTGGAGGAAAGCTGAATGCTGGATCTGGTTCAGGGCTGAAATGATTATTTAACTGTGATTAATCGATTCTTGCAGTAATTATCGCTAAAACTAATTTAATAATCGATTAATTATTAACCATATAGAGGAAAGCCGTCGGAGCCTTAATGATCCCAAAACTATAAAAAGATAAAAAACCTTCTTCATAAATCTGTTTTACCCAGAATGCCACAGTGGCAGTTTTACTTTCTGCTAATTAATCACCAGATCAGCTTCACTGATCAATAAGTGCAGAAGGAGCTGCTCAGATATTCACGCTGATGTTCTCCAGCTGCAGGTAATCAATCGATCAATAAAGGAATTATTGACTTTTAGGCAATAAAATGTTTAATCTCAATTTTAAAAAATGATTTATTTGTTTATTTGCAACTCGACTGGTTCTGGTCCGATTGGTTCTGGTCCGATTGGTTCTGGTCCGATTGGTTCTGGTCCGATTGGTTCTGGTCCGATTGGTTCTGGTCCATCTGGTTCTGGTCGGGTTCCATGTTGGTTCTGGTTCTTCAGGCTGTAAAATGTTGTTTGTTTGTTTTATCAGCAGAATGTGAATTTTTATCAGATTAATAAATTAAATAATCAATAATAATATTGAATATTTAATATGGTGGTTAGTCAGAATATTCTTCCCTGCTCTGTTTGGACCAACCAGTGATCAGCAGTTCTGGTTCTGGTTCTATTGGAGACTCAGTGACCTTTAAAAATACTGCTCTCACCTTCCTCACTCCTCATCATCATCACTTTATTACCTCCTCTCCTCTCCTCTCCTCTCCTCTCCTCTCCTCTCCTCTCCTCTCCTCTCCTCTCCTCTCCTCCCTCTCTCCTCTCCTCTCCTCTCTTCCTCTCTCTCCTCTCCTCTCCTCTCCTCTCCTCTCCTCTCCTCTCCTCTCTCTCCTCTCTCTCCTCTCCTCCTCTCTCCTCTCCTCTCCTCCCTCTCCTCTCCTCTCCTCTCCTCTCCTCTCCTCTCCTCCTCTCCTCTCCTCTCCTCTCCTCTCCTCTCCTCTCCTCCCTCCTTTTCTCCGCTGTAAGCCGGTTGGTTCTGCTCTCCAGCGTCTGAAAGCTGCAGGTTTGTGTTTTCTCCTGAACGCTGTGATCCTCTGCTGTTGGTCTACATCTGGGTTTGTGCCGTGACATTAAAGCTCCTAATTGAGCCGCTCGTGCTCAGCAGAGTCTGTGGGGGGTCTGCAGGTTTTATCAGGAGCTTCCAGGCTACCGGGGGAACGGCGGCTCCGTTCGGCCCAAAGCTCCAGGCGGCCACATGAGTGGCTGCTGCGGCGCTGCAGGTCACAGGCTCATCAAACACTCACATTCCTGCGTTTATGTGCTTGAAACGGCTCCGGTAATGACATCCTGCCGCAGGAACCTCCTGAGCTCACGGAGCCACTCGGCCCCAGAGAGAGGAGAGCAGAGCATGCTGGGAGGATGGGGAGGCGGGGCCAGCATTTCCACTTCCTGAGAGGATTATCGACCGGGTGTCAGACGGCAGGACCCACCAGGGGCCGCGCCGGGCCCGGGGGCCACCGGGCTGCAGGGCAATGCTGAGAGGAGACGGGGTGAAGGGCGAGAGGTCAGAGATGCATTGGGAAGTCTACTAACACCTGGAAATACCTGGAAACACCTGGAAACACCTGGAGTCACCAGCTGCACTTTAGACTGGTCTCTGTAAACTGAAGGAAGTGACATCAGCAGGCAGAGAACGTAAAATAAGGTCAAAGATAAAATGTGATTATACATTTCCCACAATGCAATGCAGCATCAGACTAGATGACATAAACATTTAGCCATCGAAAAAAAATTACAGATAAACTCCAAAAAACATTCATATGGTGCCCAGTCCTCCCGGTCGTCCCAGTCCTCCTGGTCCTCCCGGTCCCTCCCGGTCCTCCCAGTCCTCCCAGTCCTCCTGGTCCCTCCCAGTCTTCCCGGTCCTCCCAGTCCTCCTGGTCCTCCCGGTCCCTCCTGGTCCTCCCAGTCCTCCCAGTCCTCCCAGTCCTCCTGGTCCCTCCCCGTCCTCCCGGTCCTCCCAGTCCTCCCAGTCCTCCCAGTCTTCCCGGTCCTCCCGGTCCTCCTGGTCCTCCCGGTTCTCCCAGTCCTCCCAGTCCTCCCAGTCCTCCCGGTCTTCCCGGTCCTCCCAGTCCTCCCGGTCCTCCTGTTCCTCCCGGTCCTCCCGGTCCTCCCAGTCCTCCCAGTCCTCCCAGTCCTCCCGGTCTTCCCGGTCCTCCCGGTCCTCCTGGTCCTCCCGGTTCTCCCAGTAAGTCATAAACTACCAGATTGTTTGGTTTGCTCTACAATCAGAAGGCAGGTTAGCTACATTAGCTTTATCTTTCCTTGTAAAATGTTTTACTCTAATGCATAATCATGAGTTTATTGCAAATGTTTGAATTGTAGAAAAACATTTGGCGTGCAATGCTAAGTCTCACCTGCAGGTGGCAGTGTTTTTATTTCTACCCAAAGTTGGAATATTTTCTGTCTTGAATCTTAAACAGTGGAAAAATCTGGAGGCCACTGGGTGCAGTTCACACTCCTGGCCACTGGGTGGCCAGGAGTGTGCAGATATTTACGCAGAGGAAGGAAGCGAAATGTTCCCTGATTTCAAAACTTTGAATCCAGTTCAAATTCAAACCATTTGATTCAGCTCCACCAGGTGAACAGGTGAAGAACTGTTCACCTGTTCACTGATTCTTTTTGTCCATATCCTGATTTTGAAAAAGGTTTAATGAGAAAAAATGTCCTAAAGTAGCTTCACAGAATCAGAAATGTGGATCGCAAAACTCTGGAAATCCTGTGTGGACAGCAGGTTGTTTGGTTCAGCTGATCAGCAGCGTGGAGACGGCGGCCGGTACCGACACCTGGCCCACAAGGATCTGATCCAGAACCATCAGCTGAGGATCTGGAAGGCGGTTCTGCCCCTGCCGCTCGGATCCCTAATTAGAAGCGATGGGAATGTGAAGCATCAGCAGGCACCAAATGAACAGAGTCATCAAGCCTCCGTCACCCGGCGATGGAGGTTTAATTGCAAACCTCTCAGCTGTAATTGGAGGCGATGAAGAGAAGTCTGAGTTCTGCTGCGGGTTTTTGGGAGGAGCTCCGGCTCTCATGACTCTCTGACTCAGAGCAGAAATCAGAGATCGATTCAAGCTTTAAGGTTCTGTTGGTTCCTACTGGACCCGGCAGGCGGAGACGCAAGTCCTGCTGAGACACGAGAGACGAACTCTGGATCGCTCTGTCTTCATGCTGCTGAGGACACACACTCACACTCACACACACACACACACACACTCACACACACACACACTCACACACTCACACACACACACACACACACACGGTGGGTCTATTTCAGAGTGAACTGGATGAGCCTAATTTCCAGCTGAACTACAGATTAAATTAGTTCTGTGTGTCTGTGATTTCCTCTTCCATCTCACCAGAACCTGTGAGACCGGACCGGGTCGGTAAATGGTGGCAGCAGAACTATTTTTCCTTTAAAGCTTCATCTGAACCTTGGTTTTGACCCGGTGGTTCTGACCCGGTGATTCTGACCCGGTGATTCTGACCCAGTGGTTCTGACCCGGTGATTCTGGCCCGGTGGTTCTGGCCCGGTGATTCTGACCCGGTGGTTCTGGCCCGGTAGATTCCGGGTCATTTATCAGTAGCTTTGCTCCTGATGTGGAACATTAATGGATGTTTTCCTCTTGGTTCTGTGGACCAGAACCGCCTCCGGATCTGGAGGATCAAACCAACGATTAATCGTGATTAAATTGATTTAGTGATTAATCGGCAGAATAATTGCTTTCTAAAACAACAGTTTCAGAGGACCAAACTGTGATCATCTGGAAGGAGAAACTGCAGCCCGACCTTCACTTGGACACCAACCAATCTCAGAAACATGAACCGTTGAGACGCAGTGGAGGCCGATCGGAGACCTGAGGCTCCGACTGATGGCAGCAAACTGTTGCTGTGATTTGCTGCACCTGTGGATCAGCTGCAGGCAGAAGCTGCTGATTCTCCAGAGATCATCACTGCTGATTCCTCCCAACACACACACACACACACACACACACACACACACACACACACACACACTCGCGTGCACACAACTACTGCTCTCACACTCCTCCCCATCTCCTCTTCACACTCTGCAGCAGTCAATAGTGGGTGTGTGTGTGTGTGTGTGTGTGTGTGTGTGTGTGTGGGTGTGTGTGTGTGTGTGTGTGTTTGTGTGTGTGTGTGTGAGATGTGGAGCAGTTTCCTGCTGGCCCCATCAGGGAACCACTGGGTCCCCTGAGTGTAGCAGAGGGTATCTATGACTCTGATAATGAGGCGGCGATGCAGGTCGGTTCTAATCCGACTGAGAGCTGAGCCCACAGTGACAGCCTGGTTTTGACCAATAGGAACCCAGAGATTTGCTAAAGAGATGGAATTGTGTGTCACAGTATTTTTATAACACAATCCAGTAAATATGTTACTGAAACTGCAGCTTCATGACTCCAATAAGAGGCGGAGCTTCATGACTCCAAGAAGAGGCGGAGCTTCATGACTCCAATAAGAGGCGGAGCTTCATGACTCCAATAAGAGGCGGAGCTTCATGACTCCAAGAAGAGGCGGAGCTTCATGACTCCAAGAAGAGGCGGAGCTTCATGACTCCAAGAAGAGGCGGAACTTCATGACTCCAATAAGAGGCGGAGCTTCATGACTCCAAGAAGAGGCGGAGCTTATGGGTTGCTGTTCTGTGAGCAGCCGGTTGCATTACCATCAGTAATCAGGTTGTTTGCTGTGAGCAGCGTCATTAGCACCTTGTTTAGCTTTGTTCAGAACATTCTCGCCGGTGTGACGGGCCAGGCCGAGTCTGACACTAAAACCTCACAGGGGAGATCACAGCAGAACCTCACGGATACTCTGAGCCCAGCTGGCGGTTCTGATCCACTCCTTTTTCTCTGCAGCTCCGTCTCTGATCAGCGAGCTGCGAGCGGAGAAGATCGAAGAGAAGAGCGTCACGCTGGTGTGGAGGGAACCGCCGAACCCAAACAGCAGCCGCACCGAGTATGAGGTCAAGTACTACGAGAAGGTAACCCGACCTGAACCGGACTGAACCTCTGGACCCGACCTGAACCGGACTGAACCTCTAGATTTAAAAATACCCAAAAAAAACTGTGTCTCGCCATCATGTCCTCATGCTGTCCTCTGTCCCTTCAGGACCAGAAGGACCAGAGTTATTCCACGGTGAAGACGGCCGCCACTCGGATCATCGTCAACAACCTGAAACCTGGAACCACCTACGTCTTCCTCATCCGTCCCTTCTTGACTCCGACTCCGTCCTCGTCCTTGTCTTCTTCTGCTCTCTCATCCACCTCTTCTACTTCTGCTTCCTCGCCCTCCTCTTCCTCTTCCACTCCTCCTCCCATCGACTACGGAGCATTCAGCGCGCCGCTGGAGCTGCAGACTCTGGGCGAGTGTGAGTCCTGTTCTACTCAGCATGGAGACCTAATGACCCGGCACCACACAGAAGGATTTAAAAGCTGAATGTGGCGAATCCAGTCTGGATAAATGTGAAAAACTGTCTGGTAAACTGAAACTCCAATTCTGACCAGCATTATTACTCTGATGCCCATTTCTCCTTCCATCAATCCAATCGGCCATCTTAAAGCCGAGCTTCCAGATGTCTTGGGTTGAAACCATTAATCGGATTGTTCATGATTAATTGATTATTGATATTCATGGTTTTAGAAATTCTCTAGAAGACAAACATTAAGCTGTGTTTCACTTCAGCAGTGTGTGGTTTGACTGGTTCTGTTTGTTCTGATTGGTTCTGCTGGTTCTAGTAGCCCTGGCGTCCAGCGAACAGAACCCGGTGGTGATCATCGTCATCGTGTCGGTGGCTGCGCTCATCATGCTGCTGTCCATGGGGGCGGGGCTTCTCATCTGGAGGAGGTAGGCTCAACGTCCATCCATCCATCCATCCATCCATCCATCCATCCATCCATCCATCCATCCATCCATCCATCCATCCATCCATCCATCCATCCATCATCCATCCATCCATCATCCATCCATCCATCCATCCATCCATCCATCCATCCATCCATCCATCCATCCATCCATCCATCCATCCATCCATCCATCATCCATCCATCCATCATCCATCCATCCATCCATCCATCCATCCATCCATCATCCATCATCCATCCATCCATCATCCATCCATCCATCCATCCATCATCCATCCATCCATCCATCCATCCATCCTCCATCCATCCATCCATCCATCCATCATCCATCCATCCATCATCCATCCATCCATCCATCCATCATCCATCCATTCATCATCCATCATCCATCATCCATCCATCCATCATCCATCCATCCATCCATCCATCATCCATCCATCCATCCATCCATCATCCATCCATCCATCATCCATCCATCCATCCATCCATCCATCCATCCATCATCCATCATCCATCCATCCATCATCCATCCATCCATCCATCCATCCATCCATCATCCATCCATCCATCATCCATCCATCCATCCATCATCCATCCATCCATCCATCCATCCATCCATCATCCATCATCCATCCATCCATCATCCATCCATCCATCCATCCATCATCCATCCATCCATCCATCCATCCATCCATCATCCATCCATCCATCCATCCATCCATCCATCCGTCCGTCCGTCTGTCATGCTGCAGAGAAGCACAGTTAAGCCCCTGTACATAATTTCTTTAATAAAATGAAAATAAGATTCTCCAGAACCAAGACTGATGATGCCCCGCCCACCTTTTGCCAGGTGGGCGGGGCTAAGGTCCTACATCGGGTTCGTTTGTCTTTAGGAGCAGCAGACGGTCTGTTGTGGTCAAATGAAGGATCTGTTCCCTTTCTGATGATGTAATCAGCTGGTTGCTGAATAAGCTCCTCTGATTGGTCAGAACAGAGCGCTGCTTCCATCATCCACAGTGAAATGAATTCATCCTGCAGGCTGGGAAGCTTCTCTTTTTCCATAAATCATTCTTTAAATGAGCCTTTCTGCCTCATCCTCCCATCATGAAATCTGTCATCACAGAGCAATAATTAGATTGAAAGTTTAAAGCAAGTAAAAACATATTTTCTCCTGCGGCGACCCGATTCTCAACATTAACATAAAGCACAGGATTAGTCACACATCACATTTTACAGATTACACAGCCCACATTTCAAAAAATGATATTTTAAAAGAAAATGTGCTTTTTAAACCTCAAATGTTTTTAGGTCATTTATTACATTCCTGAACTGAAATTAAGAAAACTGATTTTTATAACAATTTTATAATTATTTTTTCCACAAGAAAAAATAATGTTTCCTGTTAGAATGATTTTATAAATATGAGTAAATTATACTGTAACCTAAAATGCATTTCAATGATACTTGGAAGAAAATTGACGTCGTAACACTAAGCAAGTATTTTGGAAAACTGAAACTTCCAAAATATGGTAAATATGGCCGCCGCAGCGCTCTGTTTACATCAGTAAAGGAGTTGGGACGTGATGCGTTCACTGACGTCTTTGAGCGCTTCGTTACTATCAGACGTTGTTCACGTCCAGATTTACTCATTTCTGACACTGATGACAAACATCAGATAAAATGTGATGTTTGAAAACTATTGGATGCGATGTTGTTGTTCCTGCAATGGAAGCGGGACAGACTGGAAGCTTCATGAAGTTCATGTGAGCAGAAGTCCTGAAAACTGGATGATGTTTGAGAGAAAGGACACACAGCAGGTCTCTGACACACACACACACACACACACACACACACACTGAGCGTCAGAGCTTGACTGAGTCGGATCGATCCGGAGTTTCGGAGCGTCGCTCCATCCCTCTTCAGGAAGCTCAGGCTTGGCTGGTCAGAGCAGGGATTGTTTTTCTGTTCACTGACCACAACTAGCTGAGTGTGTGTGTGTGCGTGCGTGCGTGTGTGTGTGTGTGTGTGTGTGTGTGTGTGTGTGTGTGTGTGTGTGTTTGAGGAGCTGAAGGAAAACAAAGATGCAGGATATTAAAGTGGAGGTTCTGTGGTGAAAACTGGACCGGATCAGCAGATTGCAGGGAGCAGCGCAGGTCAGAACCGTCAGGAGGATCAGCTGATCTCTGATAATCTCTGTTAATCTCCTGATGATCTCAGCTGGATCACATCCACCTGCAGGACGAAGCGCTGCGGCTGGAGAGACGCTGGAGGAGCCAGAAGGAAAAGTTTCCAGCTGCTTGAATTCATCATTAGCAGAAAATCAGATCTCAAATTCTGCAGGAAACTGAAGCTGAAGGTTCTGTTTCACTCATTCATTAAATTCCTGATAAAAAACTGTGGGACATTCAGGCTCCGTTGTTCACACCAAGCCCAGTTCAGTCCATTTTAACCCGACTCCGGTCCGTTTAGAAAATCTGGTCCAGTTGGTGAAGTGTAAACGCTGTTGACCTCTGACCTCTGGTCCTCCAAACCGCTGCGTTCGGTTCAAGTGAACTCTGGTGGCTAGCCTAACACTAGCAGCAGAAATGTCTCCTGAAAACTCGGCACTACACCCCCTGCTGGTCTGGAGGATTTCTGTTTTCTGGCGCCAGTTTGCAGCATTTCAGACATTTTGAAGCATTTTCTTATTAGCAGCGTTTTTCTGTTAGGTTGTTTGTGGTGGAGTTTGTTTTTTCAGCTCATTCCTCTGTTTTTTAGCCACCGCAGGTCGTGACCTCCATCTGATTTCTGCAGAATCATCATAAACTGGGTTTAAAGAGACACAGCAGGCTCCATAATCCATAATCACCTCCTCATTCATATCGTTATGTTGTTCACATTATAAATCTGTGAGTCAGAATGAAATGTTCTGGAGGTTTAATCCGGGTCCTAATTAATCTGGTTCTGAGGTTCTGACCCGTGGTTCTGCTGTCTCTCCCTGCAGACAGTGCGGCTACAGCAAAGCCTCCCAGGAGGGAGACGAGGAGCTCTACTTCCAGTGTGAGTCCTGAATCAGAGCCCATGTTTCGGATCAAACTAACGTTAGCGTCAGAACCGCATCGGATCAGCAGGATCGACCTCTGGAAGGTCAAACTGCAGGTTCCCAGTCAGGCTCAAGTCCAGACTTTGACTGCTGAGTATTTTATTCTAGATTCTGGTGGAAATATCTTATTACATTTGAAATGAGACAAAATGATGTTAAAAATAACATTTCAGCTTCAGCTTGACAGTAATTACTGAGTCTTAAAGGGGCGGTATCGTAAAATCGAGTCTTTAGATTGAAGCAGCAGCAGAACATGAAGCCTCCTCTCTGGAGCTGATTAGATTCTCTGCAGAGTTTCCAGACTGAAAGAAATGATGAGAGTCTGGTTCTGGTTCTGATTGGATCAAATGCTGAACAATCAGAGACCTCTCTTTGTGTTCTGCTGATGGAGCGAGGCAGCGCCAGAGATGACCTGCTCACTTCCTGTCTCAGTGCCTCTGACCCGGTTCTGTTTAACTAGCTCTGGGCTTCTCTGTGATCCAGTTAAGATCCCGACTCGGAGGACCTACATCGACCCGGAGACGTGTGAAGACCTGCTGCAGGCCGTCCACGCCTTCGCCAAGGAGCTGGACAACCAGAGCATCAAGATAGAGAGGATCGTCCACACAGGTACCGAGTTCTGGCTGACTGGACCAGAACCTGACCTGATAGATAGAACCGCAGTTAGCTTGTCGCTGCTTGCAGAGCCAAGAGGGGAAACGGGGATTCATCGTTCAGTCAGTTTCACCCTGTTGATATAACATTTAGTTTGGAGGTAAATATTGACATTTAAGCTCAATATTTAGTTTCTAATTAAATATTTAGCTCAGAGCTAGCTAAGTATTTAGCTTGTAAATTAAATGCTTAGTATGCAAGTTACATATATATTTAACTAAATATTTACTTTAAGCTAAATATTTAGTTGGTAAGTTAACATTTTAGCTTTTAGCTCCATAAATATTTACACAAACTGCATATTTAGTTTTTTCACTAAATATTTAGTTTGAAACTGACATTTATAAATCAACCTCAGAGTTTAGTACAGCGAATCATAAAATTTCTGTTAAATCTCCATCATTTCTACGTTATGTTTTCACCTGCGGCTTAACGCGAAGCTGCTGCTGCCTCTGAACTCAAGGTGGCGCTGTCCGTTTCTCCCATGAACCCTGACGTTTATCAGATCCATTCCTGGTGATAAATCTGCGTTTTCCCTCTTCTCCGCGCCTGTGCTCCGTGTCGCCCCCTGCAGGTGACTTTGGGGAGGTGTGCCGCGGCTGCCTGAAGCTGCCCAGTAAGCGCGAGCTGCCGGTCGCCATCCGGACGCTGCGGGCCGGCTGCTCCGACAAGCAGCGCCGCTCCTTCCTGAGCGAGGCCGGCATCCTGGGCCAGTTCGACCACGCCAACATCATCCGGCTGGAGGGCGTCATCACCACCGGTGAGCCGGGGTCAGGGGTCGGCTCTGCGGAGGCGGGGCAGGAGAGAGGAGCTGCAAATAGCAGCAGCTGCAGATGTGGAGGATCCAGTAATTGGTGCTTCAGACGCAGCAGGAGCTGAGATGCTCTTCAGTCCCTCCCACCGCCTCTCACACACACACACACACACACACATGCACACGCACACACACACACACACACACACACACACAGCCCTCCACCTGCCTCCCTCCCCCGAAACACCTGCTCTCTCTCTCCTGCTCGCCCACACCCTCTCACTGTCAGATGACTAATCTCCTGTTTTCCATCACTGATCCCCCAACGATCCGGATCCTCTGATTGGACCAGATCAGTTCTTTAGTTCAGTTCTCTGGATCAGTTCTTTAGTTCAGTTCTCTGGATCAGTTCTTTAGTTCAGTTCTCTGGATCAGTTCTTTAGTTCAGTTCTCTGGATCAGTTTCTTTAGTTCAGTTCTCTGGATCAGTTCTTTAGTTCAGTTCTCTGGGCCGACGCTGGAACACGGATCCATGTAGAACCATCTGCACCTCTGGATCGTCTGAGTCTGGAGGCTCAACTATGGAGGACTGATGCTGCCAAAACTTCCATTCGCTGTAGAAATAAATAAATAAATGTGTGTGTGAGTGTGTGTTTGAAATACCTAAATACGATTTAGGCGATCATTTTCTGCCGTTTTTGGGTCAAGGTTTAGATTTAGGACAAAGTGGTGCTTTATTTTCTTCTCTAAGGAAAAAGCAAAGAGAAAATATAAATCTGTAGATAAACAGACAAGGTGTGAAAATGATAAGAAATATTACAGACGTTCTTGGTTTTCACTTCTTGGATGTGATAGTACTGACTTTATCAAGCCTTTTATTTATTTCTATTTTGTGTCCAGTTTTGGCAGGATCAGCTTTCCATACAAGTTGATGTTGGAGATAAACACTAATTCAATCAGGCAAAACATTATGACCACTTTCAGGGGAACAACGCTGGTTCTCTTCATCATGGCCGCCGTCAGTTGGCAGACAGTCAAAGTTTTGGTCCGGTTCTGGTCCAGATTCATTCTGCCTGGAAAAGTTTCTGTTTCACAGGATAAAGATTAATCAGTTAGTTTCTGCTCTCATCTCCTCCTGCTGGGTTCCTGAACCCGACCTCTGAGTTAAACCCAGCAGAACCGACTGGACCCGTTTCTCTCTGCGTCTTCAGGAAACACGATGATGATTGTGCAGGAGAGCATGACCAACGGAGCCTTGGACTCCTTCCTCCGGGTACGGCGCCGCACTCACTCATGTTTTTCCCTCCTGACCTTGATGACCTTGAAGGAGGAGCTTCGAGCTAGCTAACGCCGCCTGGTTTCTCCTCAGAAACACGAAGGCCAGCTGAGCGTCATGCAGCTGATGGACATGCTGACCGGAGTGGCTTCAGGGATGAAATATCTCACTGAGATGGGATTCGTCCACAAACGGCTGGCAGCGCACAAGGTGAGGCGGGAGGAGGTCACTTCCTGTTCGAGACAGGAAGTGACCTGAACAAGGTTTCAAAGAAAGAATCACAACATATGAACTTTAGAGAACATTAAACCATAAACATTCATGTAAAACTCTAACATGTGGCAAACATCTAATGTGCAACTGGCACAGCTAACATTTCAATTAGCAATTTTATTAGCATTTAGCGCAATTAGCTTCCCCTCTATGAAATTTTAAATTCTAAACTGCTAATTTACTTTGCTGTTTTTCAGCTAATGTTTATTATTAATGGCTTATGGTTAGCCATGCTAACGGTTTATCTAGCGTGTTAGCTGCTCAGCTAGCATGCTAGCTGTTCAGTGGTTGTGTCTGTAGAGGCAAAACAACCTCAGATGTCTCATCGGGTTCCTCCAGGTTCTGGTGAACTCCAACCTGACCTGCAAGGTGTCGGGCTTCAGGCCACTTCAGGAGGAAAAGATCGACTCCATCTACACCACGCTGGTGAGAGCCGCAGCTTCGCTGCAGCTGGCTCTGAGCGCTGACCCCTGACCTTTACACCCCGTTTGTTCTCCCTGCAGCATGGAGGGAAGAGCGTGGTTCTGTGGACCGCCCCGGAGGCCATCCAGTACCGCCGCTTCTCCTCAGCCTCCGACGTCTGGAGCTTCGGCATCGTCATGTGGGAGGTCATGTCCTACGGAGAGAGGCCCTACTGGGACATGGGCACCCAGGATGTG